AATGTTACTTGTTCTAGTATCGTTGTATATGTTCTCTTAGTAATAAGTATTGACTCCTGAATGAACTGACTCGTTGATCTAGAAATTGTAGTAGTATGATCCCGTGTTACCCCGATGGTAACTTACTAATGATGTGCTGATAAGTATGAATATGGAAGTACTTTTATGTCTATACATGTATATATGATATATAACTAATATTGAAACGACCCTCGGATGGTCACCCGAAATTCCACCAGACCACATCCAAATCGAGGAAAAGGAAATAGGACAGGTGGCTTTCCTAAGCCCTTTAAACATTATTTATACACTATACATATATGGGCATGCAAATTTATAGGTAGTAAAACAAAGTTTACAATAAAGCATTTGATAAGTAAAAGAGTTTGTAAAACATTTTGAAGTAAAACAGTTTGAACAGTGATAAAATCATTGGTTTCCTAGTTATTAATCACATGTGATTAATGCAATCACATGTGATCGAAGCAATAACTATAAGTGTTTAACTTGTATTCCCCCCCCCCATAAAGTATTTAAAACATTTAAAAGCATTTCAAAGGTTGAATAAAGGGGTATGAACTCACTTGGAAGTTTGAAGATAGCGAGATCGAAAACCGGGCAGAGTTTCGTCTCGGGAAACGGATTTTTCTCGGGATTCTCGGGAATCTCGGGAGTAAAATCGACCCTCGGGACTTGAGCAAAAAGACCAGAGCTTCGGGTTTGAACGGGCACGGAAATCGAGGCAAGATCGTGAGAGAAAGAGAGAAAATGAACAAATTTTTCGGAAAGGCTCGCATCCCTTTTATAGGGGTGCTGAACCGCCTCCGAACGCGGGGCGTACGGGCGTACGCAGCGCGTACCCGTACGTCATCGCTTACGTATTTCGGATGGGCGGGTCGGATGGGACGGCGGGTCGGGTAGCTTCGCATAGGGCGACGTGGACGATCCGAGGCCGTGCCCTCGAGTACGCGGCGCGTACCTCGGCCCTAGGCTGACTCCTCTTCGGATAATACCGAATTTTTAATAAAAATTATATATAAATTATTTATCAAACTTCAAAAATTCATATCTCCTTCATACGAACTCCGTTTTCGACGTTCTTTATATCCCCGCGAAGGTGAGACTACGATCTACAACTTTCGTTTAGATTCCGTTGGCAAATTCCGAAATTATTTTTATTATTTATTTATTAAAATGACGTGATTAAGGAATTTCTTTAACAATTCATAACTTCTTTATCTGACGTCAGTTTTTGCCAGACTTTTTACCGTTGAAATACCATTGTCGAGACCTCCGATTCTCGTTTAGGTCATTCCGGCCAAATGTCGCTCGATCTCCGTTTCGAGTTTTTAGTTGTCTGTTGCTAAGCTGAACTTGGAAAAATCATAACTTCAATATACGAAGTCGGATTTGGGCGTTCTTTTTACGTACGATCATGGTTTAATGAGATTTAAACATAGAAGAATTTAAATAGAAACTTTTTGGACATTTTATTATCAAAGTTAATTTTATTAACTCGAAAATGTTTACAATACTTGACCTATTAGGCCATTACAAAGAGTTGAAATATCGGGTTGTCACACACAGTCCGTTGTTTTTGAAGTTGTCGTCTGATAAAAATTTTCACGAGATAAAAAAACCATGCCACTAGTGTTTTTAAAATCCACGACATCCTTGACTAAATGACAAGTTCTTTGTCTTCATCTTTGGATCTATAGGACGAGCTTTTACATATATACCAAACTCCCCTAAAATCCTTTTAGCAAAACTTGTTTGCATTAGCATGATTTCTTCCTTTTTTGTGATACTTCTTTGAAATCGATACATTGTTTTTGCACGAAAACCTTCACAAATTGTACATAAAAAAACATGTATCAGCTTATCCATAGCTTCCTTTTTGTGAGTCAAAAACTCGACATCCTTTTTCACGTTATTCGACCCAATATAAAGCGTTTGTCCATTTGATCATCTAATTTCTTTATATGTGAACCTTTTAAAAAACTTCGAGCCATTTTCTTCTCCCCTAAATCTTTCAAGGCATAAAAATTGGCATGTTGAAGTCTCGCATGCCACAACCAATCATGATCCGCTTTGGTTGATAAAACACACATTGATTGCTAATGAGGTATGTTACCTCCAAATCGAAGTGGCTCTGCAAAATAAACTCTGATCCACTGAAGACCAATCCGAACAAACGCATTTGGGATACCGAATCACACAGGACAAAGCCGAACCACTTTACTTTTGAGAAATGTTGTGAACTAGCATTCATAGGTTTCAAGTCAAGTGGTCATCGGGAACAACATATGAAGAGCCTGTCATGGACAAATGGTCCTACGCACTTAGATAATGAGAATGACAAGACTACTGACAGTTCATAAGTATCGCTTTTATACCTTCGGCATCGAGCACATTAATGATGATGAGATGGGGACATATTTGATCTGTCCTCGTCCCCGCTTCCCCAATGCACTAGTAGTATAAAAGCGGGTCGGTTTTCCTCACTAACGGGTACGCTCTCAACAATCACAATAGATTTATTATTCGATCATAACGTCCCAAATCTCGTAACTAACTTAAGCATCAAAGCGTTCTCCCGGGCTCATCACCCGGTGAACGTCTGATGTTGCTTCCTCTTTTCAAGTTCATTCAGGCTCCAACATTAGACGAATTCACCTTGTTGAGCGTTACATCCTACCGCCCGAAGGGCAAGATTCATCAATCGCCCTGTTTAAAAAACGTGTTTTGTAAATTCGGTTAGGAAACCTCTTTACTTTTAAAAGTAAAGTGTTATTGTTGTCAAATACATGTAAAATGTTAATATAGATAAATCAACTTGAGTCCCATTTTTCATTAGTTTACCAAGACATATGATATTATTTTTAAGTCTAAGAATGGATTATACCTCATTAAGTAGCTTTTGATCTTCGGTTTTGCAATAAAACAAGATCGACATTTGCCTTTAGTGTCGATCTCTTAACCATGTCCAAACCGCGTGTGTCCTGTCACTTTCTTGTCTAGATCATGAAAGTTTGATTTTTTTTTCTTCAGTCGTGGTTGCTAAAACCATTGTTTAGATACAATACCTAGAAACCTTCATCCAATGCAAGAAACCTAACACAACTCTTCTCTTCTAGTGACACCTTATCGAGTATATATTGTTTTGAATTGTCATCATCAAAACATGCTCTTAGTTGTTATTGGTTCTAGTGATGTTCACTTCCTCATGTCAATTCTTGTTTGGACATTCTTAACACATAATGACCAAATTTTTCACAAAGTAAAGCCCTTTATTTTTACATTTATCTATTTGAGATCATGAAAGTTTGATTTTTTTTTCTTCGTTCATGTGGTTGCTAGTACCATTATCGAGATACAATACCTAGAAACCTTCACCATGCAAGAAGCCTAACACGACTCTTCTCTTCTAGTGACACCTTATCGAGTATAAGTTCGTCCTTAGCTACCAGACTACCATATCCTCCCCTTACCTTTGATGTGTTTGACAAGTCTCTATCAAATTTTAGCTAAGATCAAAATTCCTACTTGATATGTATGAGCAATAGACAGTGGTGGGATTAGATGGGGCATTGGGGGTACCCCCAAAAAACTGTTTTATATATATATACAAAATATTATTAGTAAACATGTTTCATGTTATTGTACCCCTAGCTAAAGAATTTTTAACATGTTTTTAATGTTCGATATTGAATAACTACATATAATATATTGACAATGTTTGTACCCCATATCAAAAATTTTGGCTCTGCTACTGGCAATAGAGAAGGTCCTTCTTCTCGTTCTTTATACCCTCAAAGTCTCTCTTCATGGGTCTTAAATAACCTAAAATCTCCTTCACTTTCATGTTTTTCAATTCCCTAAAGTGCTATATGACTTTCAAATATCTGATTTTTTCATTCGACTTGGATAAAGATCAATTTCCGTCAATATTTTGATTTTTTTTTCTTGCATCAAAGTCCGAGAGTAGTGTTGGGCTCAAACAATGGTCAAACTTATCTTGACATTGATTGGTCTATCAGATCAAAAGGGTCATTGGGTGTGGGAGGTCGAGGTTATTCGCCTATATGGTATCCGCAACTAAAAATGTTATCAATAATGTCAAAAGGACCATCAAACAATCTAATTAACAACCAAAAGTTTGTCAAAATATACTTCTTTAATTAGAACAAATTTAGATATAAAACACACTATTGCAAATTTGCAACGATAGAAACAAAAAATGTGAGCGATCCCCTTTACTACCGTAACTTTCTTTCCAGGTTTTCTTGGAGAAAAAGTCATGCTTCTATTTTAACAAAAAAAAGAACGGCGATTGATCAAATTATCATCTACTCATATTCTGCTTAATTTCCCTCTCAAGGTAAACATTATTACAACTCGCTTTCATTCTTTTATAGTATTTGCATATTTATTTACAACCCATTTATATATATATATATATATATATATATATATATATATATATATATATATATATATATATATATAACAACAAAGGTATGTAATTTGGTGTTTGTGACTTCACATTAAATACATATTTTGATTTGTTTTCCTGAATTTAAAGTATTATAATTTTTCAAATATCTTAGTTTTATGGGTTAATGTTTAGGTGTGACCATGGTTCTACAAACTAAAAATACCGAAAATACCCCTGGTGATACAAAATCCTGTTATAAAGATGTGGGAAATTCAAAAAAATACATCAAGTCATTTGTTGGTGCATCTTTTAAGGACCACAAGGCTTTGCTTCAAGGCAACTTTGCACAAGGTCACAACAATTTTCAACCACTTAATATTATATTTATTTTCTCATATAAAAAAATAAACTAACCATTGTTTTCTTTCTCTTTGTAATTTAACAGATGGTTGACAAATTTCAAAAAGCAAAATCAACTGCACCAAAACATGGAAAAGAATAAATTTGCTCTTTAGTTTTTTTTTTCTTTTTTTTTTTTGGTGAAATTATGTTATTTTTGTAACGCACTTCTATTTCCAATATATGCTTTAAATATGTAAAGAATTCAAAGAATTTAGCAAAGTTTCTTTTTCTTTTTTTCTTTTTTTGTAAAATCTTTGCAATCACTTAAAAATAGATTGTTACAAAATTATCCCCAAAATAGAGATGTGGACTTGGAGATGAGTTTGGTAGTAGCTGTGACTTTTTCCAACCTGTACAAGTTGTAACTTATGCATTAAGAGTTGTAACTTGTGCAGTATCAATAGTACATAACGTGATACAAGAGATTACTTTGAAATTTCTTCAACAGCTTTGATTATGTTTTGAGAATTAGTTTCCACAACTTGACCTCCAAGAATCATTTCATCTAAGATAGTATGCATCTACAAGAAACAAAGAAAAAAAATAATTATAAATTAAATTGAAAATTTAATTATAAAAGGAGAATAATTGACATGTTGTGAAGTACCTTGCCATAATTGAGAACAATATCAAGTTCGCATACATTGCTGAAGCACTTCTCCAATGTTTCCACATATACTGAAAGAGTTGATAAAAACTTAAATCATGAAAAATATAATTTCATGAAAGATTTAAAAAAAAAAAAAAAAAAAAAAAGAAATTAGATTTTGGTGTGTACCTTGTATAAGATCAAACATAGCCAGTTCATTTTCAGAGCTATCAAATACAAACACAAAGTACAATGTTGCAAACAACTTGTAAACAAGTCTTGAATCCTGCAAAGGGTTTAAGAGGTTAGTTTATGTGATTGTAACAATTTATTATATATGAATCTTGAAAAGGGTTTAAGAAGTTAGTTTATGCGAATATGTGATTGTAACAATTTATTATATATGAATCTTGCAAAGGGTTTAAGAGATTAGTTTATGTGATTGTAACAATTTATTATATATGAATCCTGCAAAGGGTTTAAGTTAGTTTATGTGATTGTAACAATTTATTATATATGAATCCTGCAAAGGATTTAAAAAGTTAGTTTATGTGATTGTAACAATTTAGTATATATGAATCCTGCAAAGGATTTAAAAAGTTAGTTTATGTGATTGTAACAATTTATTATATATGAATCCTGCAAAGGATTTAAAAAGTTAGTTTATGTGATTGTAACAATTTATTATATATGAATCCTGCAAAGGGTTTAAGAGATTAGTTTATGTGATTGTAACCATTTATCATATATGAAGACAATGTATAAAAAACACAATTAAGAGAAACCAATAATATTTGATTTTAATAAAAGAATTACCGGACCCAATAGCGCGCCTCCTTCAATGAAATTGCTTACATTTTCAGGCTGCAAGCATAAGACTGGAAGAAACAAAACAAAGAAAAATAAGTTTTGTTCTTCAAATTGTAATCAAGAGAGAATCTGAAATGTTCAAAATCATGGAGTATATGATGCTAGATCTTGATAATGATTCTTATCTCCATTTTGGTGTTGAATTGTTGATGAAAGTGAAATATGAACCATATTAGGTTCAATTACGATTGTAATAAGCCTAAGAATGCATGATATGTTGATAAACAATAAGATCTTTCTAACATCATCATCATCAAATTATGCATTCTAAAATCAACATAAATAATCGGAGAGAACATGAACCTGAGTAGATGCTTCGAATTAGTTGTTGCTGCTGTTCCACAGGCTAACCTTGCAATAAATTACACAACATAACACAATTCACAATTTCAAATCGAATGAAAATCAACTAACAGTTTGTGTTTGCCCCTACGTTTTACAGAAAAAAGAGTAACATATGCAACTTTCAACTTCAAATATCATATGAAATTAAGGTTAGAATGCACTAAAATCCGTTAGATTTGGTGGAAAGTAACTAATCAGAAGGAAAATTATACCGTATAATTGTAGAATTTGGCGAGGCGAGGTTTGCCTTGGTTGTTGATCACCATCATAGCCCTAATCATGTCGCACAAACAAACCCTAAATCTCAGTTTTCAGTTGAAGTAACGAGAAGGAGAAGAAGAAGAAGAAGAAGAAGATCCGATAACGATAAAGCACGCGAATACATCCAAAATCCATCGTAAAATATGATGCTCCGATCCGATCGTGACTCCGGCCTCCGTGATGATCTTAGAGAAAGGGCCTGGGCTAAAATTGTTACGTAACTAACTTTATACCCGGCCTGTTAATCGGTTTTTCAAACACAAAACTGGACCATGTCCATGATGTGTAGATAAAAATAGGTATCTTATCAATCAAATTACATTTTATTTAAATTTATACTTTTAGTCCTTTTATTTAAACAGAGTTTTCATTTAGATCCTTCTCGGTTTTAAAAAATTACTTTTAGTCCAACATAAAGAAAAAAAAAAGCATTTTATATTTCAAGTTGTTTTTAGTAGTCAGTATTTTTTTTGTCCATACCCCTACAATACAAGATGGTGGTTGTCTTTTTTTCATTTATATAGCAACAACAAAAGAAAAAACAGGAAATGACATTAGGAGTGATTGACATTTGCTCTTTCAAGTCATGGACAAGCAAATAAGAAATAAAAAAGAAACAATGATAAACTGATATTCGGCAACAAGCAAGTGGAAAAATGGAGGAACTGAAGATATTTTTCTATCTTCTAAATGATCTTATTAACAAATGTTTTGAATCTATAAAAAGGAGGCGACGGACATACTAAAAAGATATATATAATCCACGTTTTTATTTTTCTATACTATGTTTTTTACTTTATTTTCACATATTATAAATATTTACTATAAGTAGAAAGTTTTCATAAAAAAAAAAAAAGTTATAAGCGCAAGGTTTTTTTTTATCATTTACGTAATGACGTGTTGGAAAGAGTATTTTCAATTCAACGATCAACCGAATTATAAGGTATTTTTATACAACTGTAATTTATTTATTTTATTTTTTTTGTAAGTTGTAACATGTACCGTGTGTTTCGTGTAGATCCATAATGTTCATATAAACATATATGAAGGTTGTGAAAAGTATTTTTACTTCAACGATCAAATGAACTATCGGGTATTTTTATATAAGTGTTTTATTTTTTATTTTCTTTTTTTATCAGTTGTAACTTATAGTGTGTGTTTCGTATAGACGAATAATATTCATACAAACACATATGAAGGTTGTGAAGAGTATTTTCAATTCAACGATCAAACGAATTATGAGGTATTTTTATGTAAGCGTTTTTGTTTTTAAAAGTGTTTTTGCAAGTTGTAATTACTAACGTGTGTTTTTGATGTAATTCTGCTTATCAATCAGGCACAGAAAAATGAATAAAGAAAATGAAACTGGAATCTCGTTATTTCAAAATATTCTAAAACCAAAAAACTCCCTACAAGTGCAGTGATTCTGCATTATTAATACTAGATCTTATTCCTCAGAAAAAGCAACTGAACAAACAATAAACACTAACTGATAGGATTAACTTGAACAAAGAGATAAACTAAAAAAAAAAAAAAAAGATAAACTTTGAGAGATTCCAGCTTGGATTAGGCTAAGGCCCCTTTCAGCCACTATTATCCGGATCCTGATTTAACCCACCACCATTCAAATATCCAGACCCACCTGCATCATCCTCCCCCTCTTCGAAAGGAATCGTCCTCGAGTCCAACGGATCATCGACCTCTGGTAAAAACGGGGACAAATCAGACACGTTGAAAGTGGCCGAAACATTATAGTGCCCTAGAAGATCAATTTTATAAGCATTGTCATTGATCCTCTTTAAAACCCGGAATGGACCATCAGCTCAAGGTTTTAATTTTCCCCCACGACCACCCGGAAAGCGCTCTTTACTGAGATGCACCCACACCAAATCTCCCTCTTGGAAAACCACCTGCTTTCTTTTTAAATTTGCCCGCCTATGGTACACGATATTATTGTTTGTGATTTTCTCCTTCACCTGTTTATGGATCTCTTTGATTTTGGCTGCTCGATCAGCTCCCTCAGCACTAAAATATTCAGTAGCTGGAGATGGCGCCAAGTCCAGTGGGGTAAAGGGGTTCCGGCCATAGACAACAAGAAATGGACTCATACCGGTAGACCTATGGGTGGATCGGTTATAAGCAAATTCTGCCTGGGGAAGAACCAAATCCTACTGTTTTGGGTTAGACCCCACGAGACTCCGTAAGAGATTTCCCAAACTTCGGTTCGTGACTTCCGTCTGTCCATCACTTTGGGGATGGTGGGCACTACTGAAATTGAGCCGAGAACCAAAGCGTTTCCACAATGTCCTCCAGAAATGACCCACAAATTTCACATCTCGATCGGAAGTCAGCGTTTTTGGTACGCTGTGAAGTCGCACTATTTCTGCAAAATACAATCGTGCAATTTGACTAGCATCATAAGTTTTCGCACAAGTCACAAAGTGACTCATCTTCGAAAATCGATCCACGACTACCATAACTGAATCCTTCTACCTCTGAGTGCGGGGAAGACCTACCACAAAGTCGATACTAACATCTTCCCACGGGCCATCCGACACCGGTAACGGTGTATACACGCCGGCATTGGAACGATGTGTCTTCGCAACATGACACACCCGGCAGCGATCGACTATCCTTGTAACTGAGGTCCCCATCTTGGGCCAATAAAACCTTTCCTTGATCCATTGTAGCGTTTTGTCCCTACCAAAATGTCCCGCCAGAGCTCCTTGATGGCCTTCCAAAACAATAGCATCCCGTAACGAACACTAAGGCACACATAGTCGAATGCCCCTAAACAAGAAGCCATCATACAGCGAGTATCCATGGGTCAGACCAGTCCGACAACTTTCCCAAATGCTCGCAAAGTCTGGTTCATCAGCATAAAGAGTTGAGAAACACTCAAATGCATCAACATGAACTTTAAGTGAGGTGAGCAACCCTCGTCGTCTACTAAGAGCATCAGCCACAGTATTGGTGACCCCTGATTTGTGTTTAATGACAAAAGAGAAGTCTTGGAGTAATTCGACCCACTTAGCATGGCGTGGATTAAGCTTATGTTGTCCCTGAATGAAACGTAATGCTTGATGATCAGAGAACAGGATGAATTCTGTATGCAAAAGGTAGTGTCTCCAAAACTCTAAGCTTCTAATAATAGCATAAAATTCTTTATCATAGGTACTGTATTTCACTTTTGCATCACACAGTTTCTCACTAAAGAATGCTATAGGTCGCCCTTCTTGACTCAATACGCCCCCAATCCCAAACATAGAAGCATCACACTCGACTTGGAACATTTTCTGGAAGTCAGGTAAAGCTAGAACGGGAGTGTTGGTGATACTTTGCTTCAGCTCCTGAAAGGCGATTGTGGCTGCGGGAGTCCACTAGAAGATTTTTCCTTTTAGGCACTCAGTTATGGGGGCTGCAATAGTGCTAAAATTACGGATAAACCGACGATAAAATGATGCCAACCCAAGGAAGTTCCTGATTTCATGGACCGTGGCGGGTATGGGCCAAGACACCACAACAGCTATTTTCGAGTCATCCATCCTTATACCCCCTCCTGAGATGAGATATCCCAAGAATAAGACTTCATGCGCCAAAAAACAACACTTCTCCTCATTGGCATATAATTTTTGTTCCCTCAAAATACTGAATACTTATTTGAGGTGGTCCAGATGTTGCTGTACGCTTTGACTATATACCAGGATATCGTCAAAATAGATAACCACACAACACCTAATGAGGGGTTTAAAGATATGGTTCATAAGCCTCATAAACGTACTTGGCGCATTTGACAGACCAAAAGGCATGACCATCCATTCGTAGAGACCATCCCGTGTTTTAAATGCTGTTTTCCACTCGTCTCCGGGCCTCATTCTAATTTGGTGGTAGCCACTACGCAAGTCGATCTTAGTAAAAATGGTCGCGCCATGTAATTGATCGAGAAGGTCATCAAGACGAGGGATTGGGAACCGGTATTTGATAGTAATCTTGTTCACTGCACGACTATTGATACACATTCAATACGTCCCATTTGCTTTAGGAACAAGGAGGACGGGTACAGCGCACGGGCTCATACTTTCCCTAATTAGGCCCTTGTCCAGCAATTCAGTAACTTGCCTTTGAAGTTCTTTGTACTCGGTGGGGTTCATTTGGTATGCAGGTTTGTTGGGGATACTTGCACCAGGTACAAAATCAATACAATGTTGGATTTCGCATGCCAACGGAAGACCCCCCGGAATATCTGCAGGTAACACATCTTGAAATTCAGTGAGAAGGGGTAAGACTTCCGGTGGTTTTGTTGCTGGGGACGTGTTGGGTTCAACCATCAGCAGAGCAAATATGATATCGGGTTTAGTGTACCATGTAAAATCCATAAAGGCTGATCTAGTGAGAATCAAAGCCTCTGTTTCCGACCCGCGCATATCAAGGGGAACTAATTGTATCTTAATACCTTCCTTCTTGAAAGTATGTGTGTTTAGGTACCCATCATGTATCACTCTCCGATCAAATTGCCATGGGCGACCCAGCAACACATAGCAAGCATCCATGGAAATAACCTCACACCATACTTCATCCGCATATCTCGTCCCAATACTGAACTGCACCAGACATTTGTGCTTCACCTTCACAACATTCCCTCTTTTCAGCCACGTCAGCTGATAGGGATCGGGATGATCCACCACTTTGAGCCCTAATTTATCCACCATTAGTTGGGCAACCATATTTTCATAGCTTCCTCCATCAATAATGACTGTGCAGACCTTACCCTTCACGGTGCACCTGGTACAAAAGATATTATTCCGGAGCCACCTATTGTCGTTGACGGGAGGTGATGGGGATGAATCAGGGGTTGCGCTCAAAGCACGCTGTGTAAGGAGGGACTCACCCTTGTCAGGGTAAATAATTTCAGCGTCGCTATCTTCCTGTTCGCCGCCATCGGAATCGTAGACTGGAGCTGGGGGTGGATCCTCGGCGAGAGTGACGAGATGGGTATTGGGACAATCGCGAGCAAAGTGCCCTAATCCAGAGCATTTGAAACATCGTGGAGGATTTCGGGTCGGGGCGGCAGTTGTAGTGCGAGAGTTGTTGTAGTGCGAGAGCTGTTGTCGGTTCGTGTAGAATGGGCTCGGGTAGCTTGGGTTCCTCCCGTGGGAGGTCTTGTGGCCTCAGTTCTCTGAAAAGTGGGTCTAACCACCGTCGTTTTGGCTTCGGACTTTAGTTGCCTCTCAACTTTGAGAGCTAATTGACACACTTCGTTGAAAGTGTAGTAAGGTTGCAACTGTACGACGTCGGCGATTTCGGGTCTCAACGCTCCAAAAAATCTAGCGATGATTTGTTCTTCTTCCTCTTCTACACCACACCGAATTCGTAACCTATCAAATTCGCTTATGATTTCTTCCACTGTTGATGATTTCTGCATGATGTTGTGGTAATCCAAAAATGCTTCCTTGCGAAAATTGGGCGGCAAGAACTTTTCCCGCAAAAGTTTTTTTCATTTTCAGCCACGTCATGACCTTCGACTTGCCTTCCCGACGTCGTTTGGTCTTTACAGTCTCCCACCACATCGACGCATATTTACGAAGCTTCAGGGCCACGAATTTTACCTTATAGTTCTCTGAGATGTCCCGCAGCTCGAATACACGCTCTATTGTTTGGAGCCAGTCAAGGAATGCGTCAGGATCGGACATGCCATCGAACTCAGGTACGTCGATTTTGATTCCCAAATGTCGTAACGGATCGGATCTCTATTCTCTCCGTTCGAATGGGTTTCCCTCTGTTGCAAAAGGGTTGTACGCTGGGTCCCCATCATCCCAGATGTGAGGGTCAGTGTTCGTCCCTTCCTCTGATCGTTCTTCTTGTTGCACCTCTAGGTCCCGGACCCGTTGTCGCAACCTGGCTATTTCTTCCACATCTCGTGGGTCACGATGGCGGTCCTCGTTGCCTCTGCCGGCGAATCGACGTGGATTCCTCTGCCCTCGTTCACCCCGATCTTCCATATTCGAATCTTTCTTGGGCTCTGATACCAAACTGATGTAATTCTGCTTATCAATCAGGCACGGAAAAAGGAATAAAGAAAATGGAACTGGAATCTCGTTATTTCATAATATTCTAAAACCAAAAAACTCCCTACAAGTGCAGTGATTCTGCATTATTAATACTAGATCCTATTCCTCAGAAAAAGCAACCGAACAAACAATAAACACTAACTAATAGGGATTAACTTGAACAAAGAGATAAACTAAAAAAAAGATAAACTTTGAGAGATTCCAGCTTGGATTAGGCTAAGGCCCCTTTCAGCCACTATTATCCGGATCCTGATTTGACCCACCACCATTCAAATATCCAGACCCACCTGCATCAGTTTTGTGTAGACGAATAATGTTGATACAAACGTATATGAAGGCGACGGAAATGAAAACGAGAAAAAAAAAGTAGTTACTTCATCAATGACTCAAGTTTTCAAACCAACATGGTAAAAATTTAAGTTCATTAATATATATTTGCAGTAAGTTTGTCATCTCGAATATTGCTAGTTGTTGATTATTATATCATTTTCAAGTGTTCAAGACTTTAGATTTGGTGCAACAAACAGGGGTTTCTTTTGATTATGTTATCAACATAAAAAAATTATAAACGTGATTTTAATGTTTTATTTAAATGTGATACTCATGGTCATCCTTCTTCAAAGAATAAGTTTTTTGGAAAAAGTCGTGCTGATCCACCTTTAAACCCTAACAAACAATGCATGCGTTCGTGTTCGCCACCAATGGAAAATCCCGATATATTAATCAATTTTCGATATGAATTAATTAAAGAGTTGAAGAAATACAAGACAGAATATGTTGGCATGTTTGGAACCGAATTATGGTCTAATAATTACAACGCTTAAATTTTTTTCAACGGTCCTGCACTTAAAAGAATACTAGATGATAATGACGTATATGTGTATCCTCATTGCTTCAAGATACAATGTAAATACTACATGTTTTTAACTATCACAGAAAGCCAAACATACCTACCACTTCGGTCTATTCCACAGGTGTGGTATGAACGTGTTGCAATAGCAATTGGATATGTTAATAACAATCGTTACGTCAAAGTTACATTGGATTGAGGATGCTTGATGCCTAATATTTCGCCACAGTGACATTATTTTAGGTATACGTGTGCAACATGATGGGCTACTCCCTATAAAGATCGACTAAATGTATATGAGAAGTTATTGGCCACCAATCGTACTCGTGAACATGTTTTAGACAAATAACATTGTAACAAAGTTTTAATAAAGTTGTAATATATTGATTTTTAAATTTATAATATGTATTAGTGTATTTTTTTTTCATTTGTTAAAAGATTAGTAAGTTTTATTTATTTTAGTTTAATATTTAATTGTACATGTTAAGTTTTATTTGATTTAACCGGTAACCGAACTGAATAAACCGTAACTGAATTAACCATAACCAATTAACCGAACATTATTTGGTTTAGTTATGGTTAGTTTTAGGATGTAAAAAATCGATTTTAAACTGAAAATCCAAAAAACCAACAGAATAATACGATAATTAGAAGTCTAAAATAATAGGTCTAAAATAACAAAAAAAATCTTAATATTTTTATTATCCAATTAATACATTGATAATAGTATATATTAAAAGTTAATAAATAAAAGGTATTAATTATATCTTCGGATTTGGGAAGATTTGAAAAGAAAGAATAAAATGTTTAACTTTTTTTCTATTTCTCTCTAACTCGGGAGCGCAAAAGACAAATTTGTTTTCCGTTTCTTTTCTCTTCTTATTTTCTTTTCTTTCTCTTCTTTTCTTTACTTCATCTCGGGAGCGAGGTGTAAGGGATTAATTTAATGACATTAAATTATTAAAAAAAATATTATATAAAAATATTATTATATTAAAAAGGGAATAAAATGACTAATTTATGTGAAAATTACACTACATAGTTTTTGTATTTAAAATGGGTCATCCTATACTTTCTTTAGAACACCAAATCTAATTTTACTCCTAAATTACTTCTAATTCCACATATATCTCCAATAAGACTCGAATCATCAACCTTTAGGAGGAAGGATAAAATCCGATACCGTTGGACTAAAAGCCTTTTGACAGGTCCTCCTATACATACGAACTAATTCGTGTATTACAATGAAATCAATAAACAATCATTATATTAGTTTCGTTAATGCAAAATCAACCATATCAGGCTTGTCACTTTCCTAATTTTATTCTTTTTTTATCTTTTTCCTTTTCTTTCCTTTTAGACTTAGACATACCTTACAAAACAAACCTTTATGTTTTTATTCTTTAGTTATTTGAAATACATATATATATATATATATATATATATATATATATATATATATATATATATATATATATATATATATATATGAGTGTTAATAATCTTAAAACTTTTAAAAATATGTGAATAATTTTTTAATTTTAGTATCATTGTACGGTTCAAGGATCATACTAATAAGGTTCAATTGACACACATACTAATAAGGTTCAATTATCGTGTCAATGTGTGTATCAATCAATCTATTGACAAAATATAATACTACAATTTTATGTCTTTAGTTTAAGTTGTAGTTTTAGAAAAGACCTTAGATTTTTTAATTTATATCTAAACCCCTTGAAACTTTATTAATTTTGAAAACTAACAAATAAAAACATATTATTTAATCATAAAAGTTATATAATTAAAATGATCTTATAAATACATTTACAAAAAGAGTAATAATGATTATTATTAAATATTTTTAAATATTAATAAAAAAATTAATTTGTTAAATAGGAAATATAAAGTATGAAACACTAACAAAAATAGAAGTGATAAAAATGAAATTTTGGTTCCAATTTCTTTCTATATATAAACCATTGATATTTCTTATTTGTTAAATTAAAAGTGACTTGCAATGTCATTTGAAAGTAACTTTTGCTAAAAGCAAACATACAATATTTGTTATAAATATAGATTATATTAAAATCATTTGAAACGCTAAAAGCAAACATACAATATTTGTTATAAATATAGATTATATTAAACGGTAAGTTTGGAAGAATGGATGAGTAGCACATATTATTAGGTATTTGTACTTAACATTTCTTATTTTTTATTGTTTTTTGTTAAATGTATGTTTTTCTCTGTGTTATGTTTAGAGATATATCCATCAAATGGAAACAAATAAAATAGATGAAAATAATAGTTTGTCACGTCATCCTTACACATGATGAGTTAATATGTGTTTGAAGAACTAGTTGATAATTGAAATATATAATTTTTATTTGTATAGAAATATTCGTTAAAAATAGTTAGCTTTTACATGTTTAAAATTACATAAAAATCAAAAGTTAAACGCTTTGAAAAGCTAAAAACCGATGAAAGTTAGTTGTAGTAGTTTTTAGATTATGAGTTTTTGTTTAAAATAAAAGCTAAAAACTTCTACTGTTGAATAAATCTTTTTTTATTTTTTCAAGTTTTTTCTTAAATATTAAAAGCTAAAAGCTATTTAAAAAAAATAAAAATAAAAAATCCATGTCTAGCACACCTAAAAGTAAAACTATATAAAAATAAATAAAATAAATAAATAAATAAAAGTTCCGATTTTCTGAAACAAAATATATAATTTTGGAATCAAACCAAACATTGGGTCATTTGGTTTACAATTATAAATGTGGGATAATTAATTGTAAGGGTAACATAATTTAGGTTTTGTTCACCTTTAATTATTTAAATTGTCCACTTATTACCATTAAACTTGTTCGCATTACATCCTCCCTCAAAAGTACTTAAGTGAAGCGTCTAAACAAGTTAAATGGTAACATGGAGACAAAAAAAAAATAACTTAAAAACTAAACGTCAACAAAAACCTAAACTATTTTCACGCAGTCTACATTACAAAATTAAACATGCAACATACAACTATAAAACCAAAAAAAAAAAAAAAAAAAACCACTAGTCTCTAAAAAGAAAATTACAATATATAATAAAATTATCACAATCAAAATCACATAACATAATCCTTCAACCCACTCTCCAACGATTTACCTACACAACTCAGAGTCTATACACACAACATACACTCGTCAATTACAAATTTCACAAAACAAACAATCCCAATCACACCAAAAAAAAAACCTCAACTCTTCACAAAAACACTTTACACCAATTACCACACCTATACAATAAATATCTTAAATTTGCAACAACCAAATGAAAACTCTTGTTTTCTATCTTCTCCTTAGGGACGACCCTTTTCCAGTTGCCTTCATATTCTGCGAATCCCTAAAGCAAACAAAGTGCACAATTGTGTTTCCATTTGGATACACCGCAAAAACACTAGTCCCTATCTTCTTGTTACAAAGAGAACACATACTCTCTCCCGTGATCTTCACATCCACTTTCCTATGGCTGTATAGCTCATCCTTCGTCTACACCATTTTACCAAATCACATATTAAAAAAAAAAAAATTAAAAAAATCAACAAAAACTACATTGCTATTACTATTATAACTTACTTGGAGGTTCTGACTTTCTCTCAATCTCTTAATCACGGAAAAGTTCCGATGCGCTTCACTCGTCTTTCTCAAAAGAGGTCCGAGAAACGGAAGCAAATTCTAAAATATTAAAAATAAAAAAAAAAAAAATTCAAAAACATTGTATAAAATAAAGAGTAAAGAGTAAGTGGATAATTTTATTACATGTAGTTTGGTTTCTTTAGGTAAAAGTTTGAGTGCATGTGCACCGTTGACCCGGTCCCACCTTTGACCCAACACATCAAGAACCTCATCAAGCATGATATTGGAAACGACTTCCTCACCAAAATCATCTCCATCTCCATCTCCATCACTTTTCCCACTATCGGTTCCACTTGGGCTGATTCTAGAATCTTCTGCGCCTTCGATGTCTGCTATTTTTTTTCCTAATCCTTTTGCTTTGGTTTTTACGGATGTCCAACCGACTTTAGGACTTGGAGATGACGATGATGATGATGATGATGAAGATACGAGATTTGCGATTCTTTTTTCGATGTTTTTTATTGTTTTTTTAGGGTTTAGATAGATTTGAAGTAACGTGAGGTAGATGTTGGTTTTTGGAGTTTGGTGTTGATGAAGTCCTGCTTCGTATAATTTGTCACAGTAGGATAAAGCTAGGCTTGGAACATGAAGCTGGGATATGGAGTACAGGAAAATTTAATGGAATAGTAAGAAATAAAATATTATTATTGTAATAATAAGAGTAAGGGAAAACTATGTAAAAGTTCTTGTATTTTGGTTTCATTATTGATTTAGTATTTATAGATTTTTTTAATTCAATTAAGTCCTGAAAACCGGGAATTGTAATCGTTTTGAACGTTTTAGCAGGTCGACCTGCTTTCAAAATTTACACTTTTGGACGAGATTTTAAGTATTATTACAAATTTGGTCGAAAATTTACACTTTTGGACCAGATTTCAAAATTTTGTTACGAATTCGTCCTAAATTATGAAGAAGAAAAAGATGTGAAAAAACTAAATTTATGATGATTTCGTAACAAAATTTTGAAATCTGAGCCAAAAGTGTAAAGTTATGGACCGAATTTGTAATAAAATTTTAAAATATCGGCCAGAAGTGTAAATTTTGGAACAAAAGTTATATTCTGGGTCAACAAGGCATCCCACGTTCAAAATTTACACTTTTGGCCCAGATTTTAAATTTTATTACAAATTCGCTCCATAACTTTAGTTTTTTTACATCTTTTTTGTTCCAAACTTTATGATGAATTCGTAACGAAATTTACACTTTTGTCCCTGATTTTCAGTTTTATCACAAATTTGGTCCAAACTTTACACTTTGGCCCAGATTTCAAAATTTTGTTACGAATTCATCAAAAAAAAGGATGTAAAAAAAACTAAACTTATGATGAATTCGTAACAAAATTTTAAAATTTAGGCCAAAAGTGTAAAATGTTATCCAAATTTGTAATAAAATTTAAAATCTCGCCCAAAAGTGTATAAACTTTGAAAGCGGGATACCCTGTCAACCAAAATAAAATGGTCAAAATAATTACAATTGCCAGTTCTTGGGACTTAATCAAATAAAAAATATATAAATAAGGACTAAACCGATTATGAGGCTAAAATATAAGGACTTTTATGGAGTTTTCCTTGTCCCTAATAATAATAATAATAATAATAATAATAATACCTTATGAACATAAATGGACAATGCAAGTTCATGTTGATTCAATTTCCCTGATAAGATTGCACGTTCTTCATACAAAGCATTTGGAGGTAATCTTTTCAATAAAATCTCTGGATTATATCCAGAAATACCCTCCAATGCTGATAACAGCTTTTTCCTTGATGCTGTGTAACTTTTTTCATCCCACTTCTTTTCACCAATCAGATCAGCATACCAATCAAGCACTTCTGAAAGATATATTTGCACCTATAAATTAAACCACAAACAAACATTCTAAATCAATTAGTTAAATAATCTCTCAGAAATTAAAAGAGTAACAACATAACATACCATTTCATTCTGAAGATTCCCAGAGATCCCATTTTCATTCATTGAAAGCATCAATTCCAAATACATAGCTTGCATTTTGGGAGCATGTTGTTTTAAATAAGAGTTGACCAAATCTGCAGGGATGTTTCCAGTCAAAAACAGGTCAATGGTTTGACTTGGACAGCTTTCAAGAACATGCATTGAGAATTCCAGAACAAGCATTGGGTCGGGCCCACATAAAGGCTGCATAAAAGTATAAAACAATTCAAATACACAATACAGAAGTTTATATATACATAATGATATTAAAAAGTTAGGAAAACTTACTTTGAGATATTCAATTATCATCTCAGGTTTGAACTTTTGATCTGATTTTGACTCGTTGACTAGCTTATGGAGAAGCTTGAGAGCTTCACGATGCATGGAGTTCCATTTATAAAGCTCTAATAAACATAAATAATGGCTTCCATTTTTTAATATTTCCTCACATATTTTCACATCACAATAATTTAAACTTTTTAGTAAATCCAAAGCAGCTGTAGATTGTGAGGTTAAAAGAAGAGCTTGTAGAAGTGCAGTGTCTAATATCAATGCCATCTCTCTAGCACCTGAGTCAAGGGGGATGTTGACTCTCCCCTAAAAATAAAAATAAAAAGTTCAAATTTTTTAATATTATTCAATCTAAATAATGTTTACTAAATTGTTACCTTGTTTGATCTTTTGGATCGATTGCTTTCATGGGTGTGTCCAACAGCATCTGATATAACCTCTTCAGTTCCTTCAGCAGCTGCTTTTCCAATTACACTGTTTCTCTTCTTCTGTAGAAACTTAACTAATGCCATTAATGTGTTATGAGACATTTTCTTGGATTCAAGAGCTGAGCTTTCATCATATTCCAGTGTATGAGAAGTTGAAGAAGCTTCCATGTCATCTGACACACCAGATGAAGCTCTTGATAAGTAAACTTCACCACTCATATCCAAAAACTTCTCAGCTCCAGAAACCATTGATGACTTTGGAATAACAATAGATGGATATAGAGAAAGAACATAAGTTATTTCCACTTGAGATGCCACAAAATGATCCATGGCTTCCTCATAGCTCCCATTTTCAAACAGATAGTGTGCATATCTGTATTAAAGAACAACAACATTAGATAACAACAATGAAAATGACAAGAATACCCCCGTACAAATGGTAAATATTACCTGATGTGAATTGACTGCTCCTTTGAGGCTCGAAGGTTTGAATCTTCAGGTGGGAGTAGCTTACACAATGCTAAAGCTTCCTCAAAGTTTCCAGATGCTGTTAGTTGTACAATCTGCATTGTGATATGAGATTTAGGAACTGATAAAATTACATAAATGGACATTGCGATTGTTTCTGGATTTCAGATTTCTTACAAACCTGTGCTCCAATAGGAACTGGGAACAATCCATGAATGGAGTTGTTTAGGGCAACAATCACTGCATTGTTTCCTTGGTGAATAAGGCGAACATCACGAAGAACAACTGTTTGTATTAATGGGTAAGGGACTCGTAAAGATCGTATCTGGACACCTCAAGATAAGAATAATGTATTAGTTTATTAAGTAGTAACCTCAGATAATCAAGAAGATAAGAAATCTACAATACCTCTATGTGTCTTTGTAAAAGAGCTGTAGCATAAGGCTTCTGAATGACAACTACTGCAGGGGCTTCAGACCAACAGATCCTGCCTTCTTGAAGGAGCTTGCCATTTTGGTCCACAAGAACTCCAATGTTGTCCTGAGAACAGAGTGTTGATTCGCATATGTAAAATTTCAAAGAAGATGGCGTAGAAAGAAGAAAGAGTGTACACTGTATACAGTACCTTCCCTAAAAGAAGTTCTCCAGATGGAAGAGACACCACTAATGGTGGAGCAATTCTTCCTGAAGGGAAGACCTCTGAAAGTGCACCATTGGTGGCGTTCAATATCGTGTATTCTCTTCTAATCCCAAGACATATATTCTCGCCACACCAAGACATCGACTTCACTGTATCTGGAACACCAAATTCTTTCACCTCCACAAATCCACGACCTCCTACAGAAGAATTGAAAGTTGTGATAAAGATTTCAGCGATTAAGCTTAGTATTTCAGGACAAATTACCATCGTGTCTGAAAATGCAAACCCTCTTTTGCCTAGCAAAGCACAAGAACCCTCTGCGATCATCCCACGAGTAAGCATTAGCTCCTTTCGCCTTCGTAATCACCGCTAGCGTCTCCAAATTCGGGAGCTTATGAAACGAAATTGACTCCGAGAGAGAAAGCAGAAGCTCTCTGGACCCCAACACCTCCATAGCCAGCATAGGCTTCCTGGAGAATCCATTTACAGTTCTCTCAAGCACGTATGGTTCCCTCTTCAATTCTAGGGTTTTAGAATGACGATCGGACGGTGGAGATCTGTCAGCGGATGAGGTGGAGGATTCCGGGCCGTAGATTCGAAGAGATCCGTCGGCACAAGCGACTAGTAGGTTTGAGCCATAGGATTCAACCGCGTCGATCTTCGTGGGGCAACCATTGAGTAGTTCAAGCGAATCGAATGCAGTGTGCACCATTTTTTCCGGTGATCTTCCTTGAAAATCTGAGAAATATAAGGTGTCTGGTTATTCGGGGTCAAACGACGTCGCACTGGTCGTTGACTGTTTGGAGGATGAAAAACCCTGAGCCAAAGCTGCCCGCGCTTTTGAAGTCGGACTTTATGGGGTGGTTTGGGGAGTCTTGGATCATATGGTAGAAATATTTTCTAAGTATAATGTTTTAACATGAGATGGAGTTAACATAGAAGCATTATTGGGTAAATATTTTGTTAAAAGTGGTAGAAAAAAGAGTAAAAAATATATTCTTGGTTCTATGTTTTGTGTGGGAATGTTTCTTTGAAAGTGAGTTGTCCGAATCTTTATGCCATTGAATTTAATAAAATTTGATTAGTCGTGGAGAGGGTCATTCTTAGCTATGACATGGAGACTCGTTAGAGTTGAGGGCCGTCGTTGTGAAGGGAAGAGAAGCAAAATTATTTTTTGTCCTAACAAATTATCTTTCTAATTTTCAGACAGGACAGATGGTTGTGAAGTAAAGAATGCGGTTGTTATGAATCATGTTAGAGGGATTTTGGATAATGATGGAGAGCAATAATAATTCTTTTTATGTGGGTTGATCGGATTCCTACTAAAATAAACAGCTTTGTTAAGAGATTGCCCAAGAATAGAGATTCTTATTTTTGCAAATTTATTAAAAACTATGTGTTTTGATCTCTTCTAATTCATGTATGTATTGTAACATCTCATGGTGGAAGATGTGAATCCTGTGTTCTTTTCATATGACTATGCAACAAGGTTGTAGAAATGGTTAGTCCTCCTTCTTGCAAAGTCAACTCACTTTAGTTTTATGTTTAGATTTACTCAAGTCGTTGAAGGTGAACATTGGGAATAAAATAATAATAATAACTTCAATTATCTTTTGTTTATTCAATCTTTCGAAAAAATTTGAAAGCTCGTAATGCATTATTGTTTCAGAATGAAAGAATGATTGTTTAATTTCTTGGGGATGACATTAGCATGTTTACTTTTAATTGGATAAATAATAAGTCTGAATTATGTTTAATTGATTGGTCGGTTTGATGTATATCTCTTATATCAAAATTATTTTGTAATCTGACATGAACTCCTCGTTTAAGTTTTTGTTTTCTCATGTTAATTTCTTGATTATTGTTAAAAATAAGTAGATTAAGAAACATATATTTATATCTAAATTTGTTTTGATATTACACTTTTGCATATATATATATATATATATATATATATATATATATATATAATATATATATATATATATATATATATATATATATATAAATAATGGACACACAAAGATATATATTGGAATACATAAAAAACACATGCATATAACAAAAAAAATAATAAATAAATAAATAAATAAAAATCCATGGTTTTATTACTATCAAAGAGTGTCGTCCATTTACATTTGTAATGTAGCATTTTTTTAAGAAAAATATCTTATACAAACATTTATCGCAACATCTTATACAAAGATGATCAAAAAGGGACACTCATAATATGTCCATTGTGCCCATCCAAAAATGGCAAAAGGCCAAAAACAAAAACAACAAAAAGGCATTCATATGTTCATCATTTTTCATCATTCACTATACATTCTCATATAATGATTTTTCTTCAAACCTAAATTCAAAACATTCTTTTAAGTTTCCACTTCATTATCACTTACTTTCTCATTTTATTTTCATATTTTAGACAAGTCGGGTTACATACCTCTTTTTTTTTCATGCTTAAAACACTTATTATATAGGCTAAAATTTATTAAGTTATCTTTTAAAAACAACTAATCGTTTTAAAAGTTGTTTTGGAGATTTGGTCATAATCTATTGTTTAATGTTTAAACAGTCCAATTATGAAGATTTATAATTCGAGGTGTACAATACAATATCAAAGTCAAAGTCAACGAACAACTACAACGTGATTTGTGGTCTTTTAAATATCCAAATCAATCTTTAGTGAACCTTCAACTTGAGTACATGTTAAGATAATAACATTAGGCATTAGGCCTAGTGAGTAATTTTGGAGTTTGGCTTTTGAATAAAATTAGATGAAGGCGACTAGGCATGTGCACGGTTCCAAAATTGCCCCGAACCAGATCGAGAACCAGTCGAATGAGAAAGGAAGAACCGAGAACCGGACCAATGTAAACTAAAAACGGTTTCGATGTAGGTGCTGGTTTTCGATTCCAAGATCGATTTTCTAGTCGTTAAGTTAATTTCCAGGCCATTAAGTCGTTTTCCATCTAATTAAGTCATTTATCAGCCTTTTAATTCATGTTCCAATCTCATTAAGGGTCTATTTGATTAGGTGCTGACCGAGTTAGGTCAGACGTTTTTGTTTGAGTCGGTCCGATCAGAGTGTTTGATTTGCATATGATTCGGTCAACATGTCTTACTTGGTACACAAAATTGTTCCATCCACTAGAAAATTAACATTGACCAAGCTAGAACTTCATTTGCCCAGATTTTTGCCCTTTCTCCTCCTTTTCCATGCTTGCCTTCTTTGCCTCCCACCTCTGACATATGTTTCTCCTACACCCATTCGTGTCGTTCATCCCTCCTCCAACCGATGTTGCTGACTATGTGTACGCTAGGGGTGAACAGAAAATGGTGCTAATATCGACATTCCTTCAATCCAATTGCCAAATTAAAGATAACTAGGGAGAATTTTGATCAAGGTATGTCATATGCTCTAAAATTCAATAGGAATTCTATGTGTTTTATATCAATTTTTTCAAAATTGGGCTTTAATTGTTTGATAATCTTTGTGTTTTATATTGGTATTGATTGTTTCAAAATATAGTGATATGTGTTTCATCTTCAATTTGACACACAAAAAAAATTGTAGGATTAGTCTTGCAATATCGATGTTGATCAATTACTATTAATTTCCACATGTATTCTAATTATAGATTTCGATTTTTGGAACGGTAATTAAATAGTTTCTTGCTCCTGCTATTGTTATCTATGTTTGGAGATCATGCGACTGTTCATGTTAATAGTCCCCATCTACAAAAGTTTGGAATTAGACAATTGTAACAACTTAACTTCACCAACCATTTTGTCATCCTTTCTGACATTTTCTGGTTTTCTCATGACATTCTTGATAGGATAGTTAGTTTTTACATGTATAGTGTGTGTTTCGAAATAGTGTCTTAATTTGGTAGAAGCAGTTACTAAGGCAAGAAGTATTTTTTCGAGGTGAGAGTATCTAGTTTCAGGACCCAGGAGACTTTTATTTACATAGTATATAGGATGTTAAAAAAGTTTTAAATATTTATGAATTTTATTGGATGTGACAGCTTAACTTCACCGACCATTTTGCCATCATTCCTGACATTTCGGGTTTTCTCATGACATTCTTGATAGGATAGTTAGTTTTTACATGTATAGTGTGTGTTTCGAAATAATGTATTAATTTGGTAGAAGCAGTTACTAAAGTAATAATTAATTTTTCGAGGTGAGAGTATCTGGTTTCAGGATCCAGGAGATTTTTACTTACATAGTAGATAGGATGTTGATCCCCGTTAAGATCCTTAACCAGAACGACACTTACCGCGTTTGAGGATATTGATAAATAAAGAATAAGTGGTTCTCCATCTATAGGCTTCACTAGTTGAAACATCCCAAAAATACAACCCAAAAAATTTTATTTTAATATTACTAAACACCATAATATCATATATTATAAGATAAAAGCCATGAATCATATGTCTCAAAATGTCATAGTAAATGTATCAATTCAAAACTAAAGTCAATATCATATCAAAGTATCTGAATAAAACTCCAATGATAAAACTGTGGCTGTGGTGTGTGCCATGCCATTAACCCGAGCTCTTCCCCTTGCTTGCGGAAGTACCTGAAACCAAAACTGAAACTTTAAGCAAAAAGCTTAATGAGCTCCCCCAAACTACCACATATCATACCATAACATATAAAGCACATACTGGGACTTGCCGACTGCATCGGATCGAAATCCGGACTAACTGGGGCCTTGCCCCTGCATCGGACACGAACGAAGGCAACAACTGTGCCTACAGCCGGTGTCGTCGGCGACAACAACGAATCGGAGGACGGCAACGACGGAACATCAATGCTACATTAACGCTTACTACGACTGGAGCAGCAATACACGAACACAATAACTCTACGGGATGGCAAACGATAACCGAAGCAACAGTAACGAGCCATATGGCGGCGATGGCAACAATGTAACAGTGGAGTGGGTTTGGCGGACGGCGACGGACATGACTCAAGCAGCAGCAACAAAGGACAGAGAACGACTAGGTGAATAGTGGTGTTTTTTTTCCCGACTCCAACAGTTGTGGCGACGCCAGTGATTGAAGAAGGAGGGTGGCGGCCGATGGTGGGAGGCATAAGGTGGCGGTTGTGCATCCTCTTAGGGTTAGGGTTTCAGGAGGGTTATTTACCCGACTCCCTTAAATTTGTTGCCATAATGATAGGAATGGCCCCTCATCATAAGGATCTTTTCAATCAAGGCCCATAATTTACTCTTCATACCCCTGCTCCCATAATTCTTTTCATATTAAGTCCAACAGTTACCAAACAACCCCTTAGCCTCCAAAATATTTTCAAATTAAGTCCCAATAATTTACCAAGTAGCCATCGTCTTCAGAAATATTTACAAAACCAATCCGAACTTACAATTTTAACCCCCCAACTTCTAAACGATGATAGTTAACTCCTCGAAACCAACACATTGCTATATAATTACAGATTTTATGGCTACTATTCATTCATTAATCTGTCTAATTATTTATTTAATAAACGGGGTGTTACTGAAAGAGTAACGAATTTCGTAGAGTAAGCTTAGACTAAAAAACATTGTGTTGCGTGCAGATTACAAGTTTCCATTTATAGTCTAAACAAGCCAACAAGATGTTCGATATTTCCGGGATCCTATATGACCAGCTTTATGAACGTTATTTGACCAAGTATTCCGGGTCTTTAGCATAGTTGAGATGATTATTCGTTGAGAATTGGTATTTCCTTGACTACTTTTGCACACGTGTTAGTTATAGACAAAATATGACCATTATAAATATTAATAACAATAATAATAGCCCTAACAATAATAATAACTAAAATAATAATTTTCCTATGATTTTATGAAGAATTTAGAAGTGGAAAACGATAGAAAGAAAATAGATTTTGTTGAGAAATGAAATGAGTTTGTAGACATATTTATAGGGCCAAAAAGTAGATTTACGCTCAACGTACTAAAGTGGTACGGCCAACATACTCAAGGGTGTGTCTGGTGCTGACATGTGTGTAAAAATATTAAGGACTACATGTGTATAAAGTAAGAAATATATTACCATATTAAGTTATTTTTACCACCAAATCTAGAGTAGTCCGTCATAAGAACTGAATATGTACAGTTTATCAAGTTGAACGGGTAAATATAAAAAAAAAAAAAAAAAGCTCAATTACTAAATATATACAAATCAAAAAATATATTATCTATCCAAATCATCGTATCTTTTATTTATTTAAAAACAACCACCATATCGATCGATGTGCAAATAAGATAAATAATTATCTATTCATGTAATTATCTTTTTAACATTAATTAAACAAAATAACTTATATCTAATACAATAATTATCTAAATATTACTAAGGGAAGAGGGAACCGTAGTTGGGGGTGAAAATAGTCGTATCCAAATCCAACCCGTTGAGGCGTTGACGATGTCTCATTTATTATTATCCCCCAACATTCATCTTTGCAACCGAAATCAGAAACCTTGGGGTTTTACCTTTACTTTCCGCTGTGGTGTACTCTCGCTAAAATCTTCGCTTCCAAAAATCTTAGTAAGTAATTAATTTAAACCCTAACTTCAATTCATGCTTCGCACAGCTTACTTTGAATTTGCACACACATTGTTCTTCGTCTCTTCCCCTTGATAATTCTCGAAGTAGATTAGGTAATCACTAAAAACCCATGAAAACACAAACAATTCGATTTCGACAGTAGTTTTGTTGAAAAAGTTAACAAATTTGACAGTCTGTGGGTGATCATAGCTCGAATCGATTTAATGTGACTTCAGTTTGCTTCGAAGTTGAAAGCACTTATCCCTCTCTACTTTATCTTTTCTACATGCGTGTCTGCTGTTTTGATTCCTTAACTATATGCGTGTAACTTGTAAGTGTTAGTTTTAAATCTGTGTTAATGACTCAATGGTTACTAGATTTTCAAAACCTTTTGGATGTGTTATAACTAACGATATCGTTTTTAATGATACAACTGTATTTTTCTCACTTTATCTTTAATTGGGTTTCTAAATAGGTACATGGTTGGGTGATTCCATGGAGATATATGGTGTTTTTGAACCTCTGACCCCATCAAAGCCAGTTCCAGCTAGGTCTGAACATAACACTCAGGTAGCATCAACTTCTGGACGAGGGACTGAAAAGGAAAATATAAATGATGAATTTCTATGTACAAGTTCTTTGGGTACTACAGAATATTTGGAAGATAATGGAAATAAGAGGTCTTCTGTTTTGGGTGTAGCTGGAAAGGATCCTATAAGTAGTACAACTGATCAAAGTAAGCAATTTTTTTTTGAATCAGTTTAGTATATTTGTTAGCAATTCAGTGCCCATTTTCCCGTTTGACTTTTGAGAGTCAAAGCATACTACTTTCTTTACTTTATTCTACAATCTATATGATTCATATGATGCAATCTTGTATTCTAGTTAAGATGCTTCTAATATCTAAACCTGTCTAATATTGAAAATTTGAAATAGTTTCTTTTTGTGCAGATAACACAAGTTGTATACAAGAGGAGACAAAATGTAATGACAATAAGGCTCATGGTGTTCATGAGTCAAACTATGGTATCAACAACTCAATTCCTTCAGTTCCTTCTCCATCTGAGACAAAAGATAGTAGGAAAAGGCGTAACAATGGCATTGACTTAAACAAGAAGCCAAATAAAAGAACCCGAATGAAAAAACATAGGCCTAAAGTATATGATGATAGTAAGCCAAAGAAAGTCCAAAAACCTAAAACCCCAAAACCCAAAACCCCAAAACCTGTAACTCCAAATCGTGTACATGAAAAGAGTGTTCGTTCAAGAAAGGAGAAATTCAAAGAACCAACAAGTTGTATGCAAAAGTCAACCAGTTATGTTGACCAAAGAGATTCAAAATTACATGAAGAAACCATTTGTATGCAAAACTCAGTGAATTATAACATTGAAGATGTGGAACAAGCTTCTAGGGTTTCAAGAAATGCTCTTATTCCAATGATTCAATGCAAACGTCGTTTGGATTTAAACTATCCAGTTGAAGGAGAATCAAAATCACATGATAAACATCTGAGCTTCAATTTTGACAATGGAGATTATGACTTTTTTGGTAGGATTGTTACTTCAAAGAGAAATACAAAAAGGAGAAGTAGGTTTCAGAAGAAGAGTGTTGAAATTGAAGCTTCAGAGGATTTGTTGGATGATAATAACAACAAGCAACAATATGGATTGGATTTTTCGGTTATAGAAAAGTTGAAACAAACTAAAAAACATGTTAGAAGGTTTGTTTATGTCTATACATGCCAAAAGAAAAGAAATTCAATGATGCAAGTATACGAAAGGAAGTGTAGATTATTAGATCAGTGTCTACAAAGTAGTAGAAAAAGTGGACCCAATTTTCCAAAACTTTTCAAGAAACAAAGAAAGATGAGAAAAAAGGTGACTATAAATCCAAATTGGTTGCTCAAGTTTCTTGAAAATAGCAAGAAGAAGAAAGAACCACATAAAAAACTCAAGAAAAAAGTTGCAAAAAACAATCTTCTTCTTCTTCCTATTTTTTCACCCATGAAAAAGAAGCGATCTATATTGCAGACTCGAAGAAGAGAGAATCTTGTTGACTTTCCTATTTCTAAAGCAACATCTCTTTATGATGAAAGATTCCTTTTATGTCAAGAGGAAAATTTTCTTCAAATGACTGAATGCCTCCCTCTACAAGAGGTTCCTATTCATGAAATTGACAATTTTACCTCACTACCCCTGCATTGTCAAGGAGTTGAAAACACTGTTGCTGCTTTAGATTGGCTCCAATCACAAGAGGTCCCTCTTCTTGAAAGCCAAAGTTTGAAAAAAGACCGAAATCGTAAAAGTCAAAGTAGGAAAAGAGACCAAAGTCGTAAAAGTCAAAGTTTGATACCCAAACAAAAAGGTAATCTTGATCAGACATTCTTTTACATTGTCAAAATTAATGAAAAAAAGTTGGTTTATATGTTTTACTATGTTTGATGCAGATAGTAAATTGTATATAAGAGAAATGACAAAGTATATAACAAAGAAGTTAGCAAAACTAGACATAAATGCTGAATGCAAGGCGATTGTGGTAAGAAATAATGACAATCGTGCCCTTGTAAAGACAAAAGCTAAGAAAGAAAAAGAAAAAGAAAAAGAAAAAAAGATTCTTGCAAAGGTTGACCTTGATGAAGAGTCAGAGAGAGTTTGGAAAATTGTAATGGAGAATGATGGAAGTCAACCCTTTGAAGAAATGGATAATGATAAAAAAGAATGGTGGGAAAGACAAAGAAATGTATTTCGTGGAAGGGTTGACTCATTTATTGCCAAAATGCATCTTATTCAAGGTAAATCTTCATTTTCTTGAAATAAATTAGTGTGCTTTTTCTTGAAATTTGGTCTTTTTTTTGGTCAAATTGAACAGGTAATAGGCGATTTTCACCATGGAAAGGTTCAGTGGTGGACTCAGTGGTTGGTGTTTATTTAACTCAAAATGTAACGGATCATCTTTCGAGGTATAAATATGTTTTTTTTTTTTTTTTTTTTTTTTTTACAAATCTTGAATTTCAAATGTGATTTTGGAAATATCCCTTTAATGATTTGCTTCATGTAATCCAATTGATTATTTAGCAAGAGAAATGTTTTCCCTTGTCAAATTCGATTTTTTTATACGTTGTGATATTTCGAATTTTAAAAATAAGTATTTCATGTTTTCAGTTTGAGAAAAAGGGAAAGTGTCAAATGTGATGCCATTGATAATTTGGCATTAAATAATTTTCTACATGCAATCCCATTGATTATTTAATAATATAAATGTTTGCCCTTGTCAAATTCGAAAAAAATTTAAAACCTTTTGATATTTATAATGTCTAAAATAAGTATTTCATCTTTCCAGTTTGAGAAAAAGGAAAGTGTTGCTAAATTTAGCATGTTTTTATAATAAGAGTGAATTACAAAAATAGTCCCCATGCTTTCTGATTTTTACCATGTTTAGTCCAAAATTGAAACTTCTGTTTTTCAGTTTTGGTTCTTATTTAAAGCTTTCTTATCGATTTTGGTCCTTATTTCAAGTTTCCAGCTTTCCAGGGACCAAAATCGATATACAACCTTGAAATTAGGACCAAAATTGAAAAAAGTATCAGTTTTGGACTCAACATGTACAAATCAGAAAGTGGAGGGACTAGTTTTGTAATTTACTTAAAGAATAATTTCTTAACAATAATCTTTCTTTTCAGCTCTGCTTTCATGTGTCTAGCTGCAAGATTTCCAGGCAAATCAAAAAACAAAGAAGTTGTTGACCATGATGAAGAAGTCAACACTAGTCAAGAATCAGTCAAAAGTAATACAGAAATAGTTGAAGGGTTCTCCAATAATAACAAAATGGAGGAAAATATGAGTATTTCATATGCTGATGAGATCAATATGATTCCAACCAAGAACAAAGAAGTTGTTGACCATTTTGAAGTCAACATTAGTCAAGAATCAGTCAAAAATAATACAGAAATATATGAAGGGTTCTTTAATAATAACAAAATTGACCAAAATACAATTACTTCATATGATAATGAAATCAATGTGACTCAAAATACACAGCTTAGCCAAACAGAGGCCTCAAATCTTGAAGATAAATCATGCATTGATGAAAATCCAAGAAGTTTCCGGAACCTTCTAGACCTAAATGAGGTGGACTGTCTTAGAAACTTCTATAATATTGATGAATCAGCACTAGATGAAATCAAAGTTGTAGAAGAGTCAACCCTTGGAGAAGAAAAGTCAAAGTGCAAAGAAAGTGAGGCTTCAAATCTTGAAGACAAAACATTTGTTGATGAAAATCTAAATACTTTCCGGAAGGTTCTAGAGACAGAGGAGGCCGATTATCTCAATAACTTTTGTAGCATCAATGTTGATGAGTCAGCACTAAATGAGAGCCATGTTCAAGAAAAGTCAACATTTGGACAAGAAAAGTCAACCCTTGGAGATGAAAAGTCAACCTTTGAAGCACAAAAATCAACCATGGAAGAAGAAAAGTCAACCCTTGAAGTACAAAAGTCAAGCATGGAAGTAGAAAAGTCAACAATTGAAGAACAAAAGTCAACCATTGAAGAACAAAAGTCAACCATTGAAGAAGAGACAAGAATTGTTGCTCCAATTTCTAGTCTCCAATCCGAAATCATCATGGAACAGGGAGTCAAAGTGGTCAACAACCGTGAGAGCAACAAAAAAGGAAAGTCAACCATTGAAGAAGGAAAGTCAACTATTGAAGAAGAGGCAAGAATTGTTGCTCCAATTTCTAGTCTCGAATCCGAAATCACAATGGAACAAGGAGTCAAAGTGGTCAACAAGAAAAAAGGAAAAAAGAAAAGCAAGAAAGAACAAAAAGAGGAAGTGAAAATAGATTGGGAAAAATTCAGAGAAATTTATTCCCAAAATGGAAAAAAAGAAATTAATGAAGATTTCATGGATGCAGTTGATTGGGAAGCAGTTTATAATACTCCAGTTCAAGAAATTGCTAATCTTATAGTTGAACGTGGAATGAATAACGTGTTAGCCATAAGAATAAAAGTATACAACTTTTTTATAAAAAATTATTTAATCACATTTAAATAAACAGAAAAAACATAAGTTGACTTTTTTTGACCTTTCTTTTTCAGGACTTTTTAAACCGAATGGTTAAAGACCATGGATCTATTGATCTCGAGTGGTTAAGAGATATCCCACCGGATAAAGCAAAGTAAGTGAATTAAAATTAAAATAATTATATATAGAGAGGGGTAGATTGGTAATTTTGTCATATATGTTTGTAGGGAGTTCTTGTTGAGTATACCGGGAATCGGTTTAAAAAGCGTGGAGTGTGTACGGCTTCTAACGCTACATCATAATGCTTTTCCTGTAAGTGTTTCAATTTTTTTTTTCTTACAAATTACAAAATTACAATATTACCCTTCCATTTTGTTCTTGAAGGTTGACACAAATGTTGGACGGGTGGCCACACGTCTAGGGTGGGTCCCACTTCAACCTCTCCCAGAACAAGTTCAAATTCATCTCTTGAACTCGTAAGTTTCACGTATTATTCCATATTTTATTATTTAATTTTACAAAACTATATTAATATTATAATATTTTATTTTATTTTCAGATACCCAATGGTGGACACAATTCAAAAATACCTCTACCCTCGACTATGCACTCTCGATCAAAAAACATTGTAATAATAATAATAATAATCAATTTCTTTAAATACAAATCTTAATTATTCATTATTTTACTATTTTACAACGAATCTAATTGAAAGACTTGTGTTGACTTTTGAATATATAGATACGAGTTACATTATCAGTTAATCACATTTGGAAAGGTACGCTTTCATTTCTTTTCTTTATCTTTTTTTTTTTTCTTTTCTTTATTTATTTCCATTTATTTCATAAAGTTTATAATATCAATATTTTTTTATAGGTGTTTTGCACAAAATTAAATCCAAATTGTAACGCGTGTCCCATGCGAGCTGAATGCAGACATTATGCAAGTGCTTTTGCAAGGTATGTCGCATCTATTACTATAAATAATAATATAATATAAATTTTAATTAATATTTTTTGTAATTTTTTTTTTCCAAATGTAGTGCTAGGCTTGCACTTCCGGGACCAAAAGGAAGTAGTACTGTAACCACCACAATCATACCAGCACCACCAGCACCACCACCATCGCCGCCGCCATTGCCGCCAGTACAACCACCACCACCACTGGTGGTTGCTGACATGGACATGAACGACTGTGATTCAAATTCCTATGTGGAAAACTGTGAACCGATAATTGAAATTCCAGCATCTCCAGAGCCTTATGTGGAAGTGAAATTGCCTGATATTGAAGATTATTTTTGTGAATCAGAAGATGAAATTCCAACCATTAGATTAAGCACACAGGAATTTGAGGAGACATTGAAGGAGACGATAAATAAGAAGAATAATTTGTCGTTTCCTGAGACTGATGACGTGTCAAAAGCTATTGTTGCGTTGAGTCATGAAGCTGCTTCTTTTCGTGTAAGAGTAAGACCTATAAAGCATACAGGAAAGTTGAGGACTATACATATTGTGTACGTTTTTTTTATTTATTAATATTTTCTTAATTCTTTATTTTTTTTTTTGTTTTCTCGACACATATATTACATTTTTTTTTTCATTTTTTAATAAATACAGCTATGAGCTCCCGGATTTTCATCCGATTTTGGCTGGGGTACGTATTTTTTTCATGCTCAAAATATAACGTTTTTTGGAATATAAAAATTTTAACCTTTTTTTTTTTTTTTTTTTTTTTTTTTTTTTTTTTTGTGAAAATATAGTTAGATGAAAGGGAACAAGAAGATCCATCGCGATATCTTCTTGCCATATGGCCAGGTATTAAATTAAATTTTCTTTTTTTTTGTAAAAAATGATTTACTTTTTTTTTTTTCAAGAATATTAATATTGGTTTTGAAAATAACAGAAATCAGTTCATCCAAAAATATACAAGAAGAAACAGTTAAAGGAACAATATTGGTGAGGATTTCTTTAAACTTCCATTTTCTCTATTAAAGCATTATATTTTAAAATTTTAATTTTTTTTCTTCTAACTAATTATATTAACGAACAGATACCTTGTCGAACTGCAAATAGAGGGAAATTTCCTCTCAACGGGACATATTTTCAAGTTAACGAGGTAAATTTGTGGTTTTTAAATATCTTTTTAGTTCCAATTTTTTATATTTTTTCAACATAATCATGAATATAGTATATATTTTTAATTTTAATTATTATTCAGGTATTTGCTGATGATGAAACTAGCGATGTTCCAATGGATGTTCCAAGACATTTTCTATGGAATTTAGCAAGGAGAGATTTAGCTTGTGGGACATCCGCAACATCGATATTTAAAGGTGCGATTTAACACATTTCGTATTTTACAACTTTTTTTTAGACAAAATTACAAAAATGGTCCTTTTACTTTCTGATTTATATTCTATCTAGTCCAAAATCAAAACTTTTTTCAAAATATAAAAAAATCAATGCGAAACCATGAAATAAGGACCAAAATTGAAGACTTCAAATTTGGGACATTTTTGTGTCGTAACCTTTTTTATTAACCTTGTGACTTTTTCTTTAATCAGCCTTATCAACCAGTGATATTCAGCATATTTTTTGGAGAGGTATGAATTTAATAAATTTTTTTTGTTGGAATTTTTTTTTTGTAAATGTTGTGATAATAATTAAGTTGGATTTGTGTATAATTTGTTTCAGGATCGATATGTGTGAGAGGATTTAACAGAAAAACAAGGCAACCTCGACCTCTTCATCGTAGGTTTCATGTTTCAACAACTGTAAATTCAACAGGGAACAAGAAAACACCCAAAAAATGAAAAGTTATTATTATGGCACAGAAGTAATTGGACTAAAATTAATTGTTCTAACGGAAGAGTAGGGAAAGTGTAGGGGCTGATGTGTGAAATTGAATGTAAATAAATATATATTACATTAGGTATCAGTTATTCTTATCCTTTATGATTTCCATGTAGTAGTTAATTTTATACATACTTTTTATTTTCCATGTCGGTTTTTTGTATATAAAATAGATCTAATCTTTATTCAATTTTCCTTTAATAAAACCTTTTGTCGTATCAGTTGAAATACGTTGAAATCTTGTATTTTTAGAAATCTTTTATTTTTAAACCCTTTTGATTTCTTTGATAGCATAGATCCAAATTTCGTTTTAAAATGATTATGAAAACTTTCAAAGCTATGAAAGCTCTTAATTTTTCTCAAATTTCATTTCAATTTCGTGTTATTGAAAATATTCGAATCTCACAAAATATTGGAGGAAATACAAGAGGCCATAAATTTGGATTGCAATGAAAATATTGTTTTAATGTCAGCATATTGTGTCCTAAGTGAAGGTAAGGATTGTGGAAAAAACCAAAAGAAAACATTAATTTGGACACCATTGAAGGAGCTATGTGTTGTAAATAAGGCGGAAAACCCAGGAAAACTTGGTAAGAGGCCATATACATGACTTAATGAAAGTGCTTGGTGTTTACCGAGAAACATGTAGAAAAAAAAAGAAGTGGAATGAATATGAAAGATATTGAGAATGAAACTGAGACAAGTGGAAATAAATTTAATGACACGATTGTTTTTAATTAGGTTATGTGTAAATATCGAAAATGAGATTTACAACAAGATCATGATGCAACATGATCACGTTCAGATAGACCTAATAATTTTCAACACGACACGAAATAAACGGGGTTGAGTTGAGTTTTTCAACCTGCCAACACATTCATTAAATAAGTCATATATGAGATTCTCAAAAAATATATGGATCGATCCGCTAATCCATTTAGAATTTTAATAAAAAATTATATATATATTATATATATATATATAATATATATATATATATATATATATTATATATTATATATATATATATATATATATAAATGTATTAAAACTTAAGTATTATACAGTTTATACATTAGGATAGGATGCTATTGACCATTTGACCTATGCAACATGCTTGTTGTTTAACGTTTGTATTAATGTTTTAGTTTGAATATGTTTCTATGAATGTTTTTAATTTTAATTGGATGTTTAAGACTTACGTGTCTAAAATTCGAATATGCTTGAATCAATAATTTATTCATGTTTAATTATCAAATTTATTTATGGAATTTGATATACGAACCCACAAACCCACGAACCCAAATCTGACTCACAAACCTGCCAACTTGTGAACCTATATAAATAAGTGGGTTGAAAGGTCATATATGAGTTTATGTTGCAAACCCGCCAACCCGTGGCCTGTATAGTTAAATGGGTCGTGTTCGTGTTGATGTATTTTGACCCGCCAACCCGCAACCAGTCAACCCAAACACGCATGTGGGTGATAAAGGAAATGGTGGTAGCATAAAAAAAAAATAAAGGAGTATGAAAGAAGGGGACTATTAATAAAACATTTTGTCGAATCAGTCGACCAATCATTAAATAAGTCGAATTCCATATAATATATGTGTCGGCTTACATTTTTAAAATTTTTTTTTATTTAATTTTTGGATTTGACAAGTTTGTTGTAATTTGTTTCATTATAAAATATTAGACAGCTAAAGAAATCAAATGTGAGCCCTCTTCAATCACAAATTTAATCGACAAACTCTTGTGTTATGTCATTTGTTGTGGTGGAAAAGTTTGGGAATTAACAACATTTTTATTTTTACATGTAACATACTTACAATAAAAAAAACATTAGAACATATTTTTACATGTAACATACTTACAATAAAAAAAACATTAGAACATAATTATATTGCATTACTATACCATGTATTGTAAACAATTTCCTACATCTATGACATTGGGCATATTGTTTGTCATCTATATCCTCTACATGTTCAAAATTCTAATCTTGGAGTTTCAATATGCTTTGCTGTGAATCTTCAAGCCGATTGAACATCGCAAGATGAAGCTATTTTTCTTAATCGATTTAAGATTGCAAATACAATTAGAGAGAATTCTCGTAGAGGTGATAATAGAGAGAAGTGATACGAAGGGTATCAAAACAAACGCAACTTATCTGTTGATACTACAAAAGCTATGTTTAAAATTATTATAGTACCCCTAAAACTAATCGTAAGGGTACATTTGAAAAGTATAAATTAAAAAAATAAAATAATAATAAACTAAACACAAAATATCTAATATAGTCAAATTACATTTCTTGACAATGAGCCGAAACACCAATTGTCAAGTTTGAATTTAAACTCCACATCTGATATCGGATTCAATAAACTAAATAAAAAACACTATCTAGTTTGAGAAGAATAAAATACTATGTTATATTATTTTTATATAATTTTGTCTAAGATATATGAATAAATAAACGTCGAAAAACATCTCGATAAAACGAATAGCATCTTTTGAAAAGTGGTGGGTCGTCTTCAAAAACTTACATCCTCCTGTTCTCCATCAATCTCAAGGCGATCTGATTCCCTCGTTTGAATCTTTTGGTAGAATCCATGTTTTTATTCCAAACATCTTTGTTTTCTTCTTTGGGGCTTATGATCAACACCTCTTTTGTCTCTTTTCCTTTTATTTATTTAGTTATTTTAATTTTTATGGTATCTAAAGAATTATATTTTATGATTAACGAATTTCATACCAACTTTGTTAGTTTGTTTCCACATAGATCATATAAGATTTGAATATTTTGGTATCGTTGGACTAAGCTAATTTATTAATAAAACTAGTTTATTATTTTTAATTTATTAACTAAGCTAACTTTTGATAGTTAATTTGAGATAGTTTTTGATAAATTTATAAAGCTATTTGATTAAATATTTTAAATATACCTTTAATTAAATCTATTTTTTTTTTCTTTTAGGTAAATATTAAATGTCTATCTATATCATTTAACATTGCAATCTAGGTTATAAACTATTTTTTTACGGAACACTATTAATTCTAACTTAATTTATTGACAAACAACTAGATAACAACAAATTTTTAATTAAAAAAATAACCTAATAAA